CTTTCATACAGCTCCTCATGTTGGGGTGACCCCCCCCCAACCATACATTATTTTCGTTGCTACTTCATAACTGTCATTTTGCTTTGGGAGCCTTGAAACCAGTGGTTTTCAACCTTCCTCAGGCCGCGACCCTTTCATACAGCTCCTCATGTTGGGGTGACCCCCCCCCCAACCATAACACTGTTTGCATTGCTACTTCATCACTGTCATTTTGTGACTTATCCGTCGGGAAACCCCTATGAAAGGGTTGTTCGACTCCCAAAGGAATCATAACCCACAGGTCTAGAACCACTGCTCTAGACCCGCTAGCCACCTTACAGAGTGTGCTGAAGTGTCCCCTTTGGGGTTCTCAACCTAACTCTTTACTGGGGAGAAGTTGGTGGTTTTAAATAGCGGACCTCCATGTTAGCAGCCCAACTAATGCCAACTACTGGGCTTCCGGGGCAACGAATATGTGTTCCCATGTGCGTAATTGTCCTCAGTTTTCCCATTTCTCCACGCATCGTTGAAAACTAAAACACTACCCGCTCACCTGTGTGTCCTCCCACCAGGAAGTCATCGTCTAATTAAACAGATGCACGGATACCCTGCTTCTTACCCACTCACTCATTCAACAAACCATTTCTGTACCCACGATATGCTAGGCGCTGGGGTCCAAGCTTCTGGCGAATACAAACTTTAAGTTTCTAAATGTAATCAGTGCATAAACAGTGACTTACACAACAGGAAAGGAATGTTTGTCAAGAGAAAGGACTACCTGGCAGCTGTAGAAATGTTAGGTAAGACCCTCACAGAAGGGTCACAAGGAAGAGAGGAGCCAGTTAGGGTGCAATATAGCACCGATGAAACAGACAACTTTCCTCTAGTTCTTTAATGCTTCCTCCCACCACCCCCAACTATCATGACCCCAATTCTACCTTACAAATCCGGCTAGACCAGAGGATGTACAGTGGTACAGATAAGAACTGGAAACAGGGAATCCAGGACAGGTAAACCCCTCAGGACTGATAATGAGAGTAGCGATACCAGGAAGGGAAGGGGAAGGTGGGGAAGAGAGGGGGAACCGATCACAATGATCTACATATGACCTCATCCCAGGGAGACGGACAACAGAAAAGTGGGTGAAGGGAGATAGCAGTCCGTGTAAGACATGGAAAAATAATAATAATTTATCAATTATCAAGGGTTCAGGAGGGAGGGAAGGGAGGGGAAATGAGCTGATGCCAAGGGCTCAAGTAGAAAGCAAATGTTTTGAGAATGATGATGGCAACAGATGTACAAATGTGCTTGACACAATGGATGGATTGACGCATGGATGGATGGATGGATGGATGGATGGATGGATGGATGGATGGAT